TTTTAAACCTAAACCAACGACCACCGACTAGCGAGCAGGTATGCCTCCCTCTGTCCCCCTCACTATGTTCATCTATTCACCCGACTCCACCGCCTCCTATGCCCACTTTCCCCGTTGTTCAGCTCCCCCTGTCACACAACCAAGAGCCATCGACATGGAATCACCACACGGTCCCAAATCCTCAACTGCTTAATGAAATCACGTAAGCCCATCAACTGTTCGATGAAAGTTCTCACTTTAATTATACGCATAAATGTTATGATGCTTTGTTTGGATTTGACTCAGTTGGATTTTATTTTGTGTTGTTGAGATTTTGATGGGGTTAAAATATTTTCAAGCTTGAATTGGATATGGATAATATCAATTTTGGGTTCAAACCCAACGTCGTTTTACGCTTCAAAATGTAGGGTTCCTTCCTACTTTGGTTATTTTACAACCTAGGGTGTGAAATGAAATGGGTAGGTTAATAGAGTTATATATATCACTTGCCTATTGTATTGAAATTGATGAAATGGGCATTGGAAAGGGGTAGAATAAATTCTACCCTATAATGGGCATGTAAAAATTACTCAAAGTAATTTCTTGAAAAAAGGTGGGAATTAATATATGGAAATTATTTGTGTGATTCCATAAAATATGGCATGCTATGTGTTTATGTTATGCCTTTGTGAATGAAGTATGTTATTGAAATATGTTATGTAATAACATGCTTGGGATATGTTGTTGGAAATAAAATGTTGATGTATGTTTATTGATATGTTAGCATTGTGATAAAGTTGGTGATTAGATGCATATGATATAATTGACCATGAAATATGTAGATGTATGGTTAATTTTGCTCATGTGGCATTCATTACATATGGACATGATATTGATATAACAATAGTGCATTACATTGCATTTGCACGGAGGTATCGCATCCATGGGCACGAGACATGGGTGTGGGTATGGGTATGTACATGGTTTGATCAAGCAACCATACTTAGTGGTCGATGGGTGAGCTCGCTGGAAAGTTGAATTGAAAATCGATTGAGTCGCATGGTTGCATGGGAAAAAGAATTGGGTCGGGTTAACAAGAAGGGCTAGACTATCCCTCGGTGAGAGACCTGGTGGTCAGATACGCACTCGTCGGTCTAAGAGCTCATAAAGTGTGTCGGTATATGCGAACCGTTGGTGAAAGTCCATAAATTCCGTGTCAGTGAGTGCCGTTGGTGTAAGTCCATAAATACCCACCCTAAGAAAGACCCGGAGATTTTAATTAGTCATTGGGCGTGTAACGCCAATGTCGAGGCTTGGAAAGTCGATTTTTTTATACTCATGACATGCATAGGAGAAAAAAAGGAGTCAGGAGGGCTCGGGTTGAGTTGCATGAGTGGGTGCAACCTCATATTATGGCATGACATGTAGATTCCAACTTAGACTGGCTAAATCTTGGTGAAATAGTTGTTGCTTGTGTTATGTGTTGCATATGAGCATTTCATGTGCATCTAAGTTGGGGAGTAGCTTCTGTAGAAAATATTCTACTGAGCGTGACTCACATTTTATGGGAAAAATATTTCAGGTGCGGGTGGTATGTTAGCGGAAGGCTCTCACTCGGGCCTCAAGTATGAAGAAAGCCAGAATGTGACTCTATTTTGAGTTTTTGTACAAGTATTATGAAAACTTAGTTTTGATATGTAAATTTTTTGAAATGAATGTAATAGAATATGTATGGACCTTGTATTAAATGAAAATCTTACATGTGTTGGATGGATGTAATATGGTTTGGAATGAGTTGAAAATGCAAAACATGTGAAACATGCAAAAGTCAGAAAAGCATACGGTAGGGCGCACCGGTATGACGAGGTCTAGTGGGCAACTCGTACCGGTAAGGCATACCGATACAACTTTGTCCAGAAGACAAACCCTACTGGTAGGGATTTTTCAGTAAGCTCACCCTACCGGTATGCCATACCGGTAGGACTTCCAAAAATTTGAAATTTTAAAAACTGTTTTGCCATGCTTTTTGGTCATGTGTCTTTCCTTCCAAATGATGTAAATGAACTATAATGAGTATGGAATATGGTACATTGTACCACGATTTGATTAAATGATAAAATGTACACGGGTTACTCGTATGAGTAATAATGCTGGTTAAGAGGATGCTATTAACGTGATGTCGAGTTGTGCGACAATCACGGGTATTTCCACAGGTTGACGGGTGGTCAACGATATAAAGAAGACCCCCGATTTTAGGGGCGTCACAGATGCTTTATGCTATAGACATTGGAACGCCTCTGGTAAACTTGTATACAAGATTCTAGTTTGATGGATTCGATAATGCCATTGAACATGTTCACTCTACTTGACTCATCAAAGTCATAGGACCTTCTTTTCTTCTATTTTCCCTTCTTTTTTCCCCTTTTTAATGGATTCTTGTTTTTTTTTCTTTTTAAAATCATGTCTCAATTTGGGAATCTCTTTCATAAGAAAAAGGTGGACTATTGGTTTACCCTCATACTGTGCAAATTCTAGGACTAGCAATAAATTTGTTTTTTATTTTTTTAATAAGAAACCAATCTAAGGACAATCCCTGTCTCGCTCCCAAGTAATAGATGCCTAAGTTGATAACAAATAGTCTCAAAAGCATTCCAATCAAATGGCATAACAAATTATGAAACTAACTTATAGCTTTTGGAGATCCCACCCTTGTGAAAGAGTAATTAGCAATGAGTTATAGGCAAAAATCCAGCAGGCACCTACAATTGCATACAAAAAATGTTATTCATACAAAAAGGCACTTTTTCCAAATGAGTTGGTGGGGTTCAAGAGTGATATGGAGGTGTGAACTCAATTAGTAAAAATATCTTTTGATAAATATTTTGATAGGCATGGAATTAGTCTTGCCATATAGGCAAGTTTCAAACTGCAAATTAGACCATTCACTGGACAAACACATGAGAACAAACATAACCACTGCAATTTTACCTCTTAAAACAATATTTTTCAACTGAAAATTCAGCTCAAGGTACAATCAAGTAGTATAATGCTCAACATTGTCAAAATCTCTCTGCCAATCTAGCAGAAACTGCTCTAAGTTTTGAATAAACCTTGCCAGCAGGGGACCCAATGATAAGGCTATCGAGAGAATCTCTTGCAATTTTGATGTTGGCAAAAGACCCCAGTATATGTATTTTGGTGTCTGTAATCACAATCCGAGTCTTCGTAGAGTTCTCAATTGCAAACTTGGTTTTACCCCTTTTACCAGATAATCTTCCAATGGCACGAGACAAGTGCTCGCCTCGAAGGGTTTTCACATCTTTGATCTCAAAAGACTCCACATAGAGTTTGTACATGCGGAGAAGTGCAACGATGTCAATCACGTCGAATCCAAGCATGAAAGCGTGCACAAAATCATCACATTTTTGGAGGTTACTGATGTCAGGTGTGTCTGATTTTGATCTTCAATTCAACCTTGCGAGCCTTGAGATTCATACAAATGTCGATTTTCATCTGCTCGTATATAGGAGTGTAAATTTCCATCCACGCTTTCTTGAGAGGCGTATATTGATGCTGTGGTACAGAGACTTTCTAGAATTGAACTTGACCGTTGGACATCTCGTGAGCCTTCAAGGGTGCAAAGTTTGGTTTTGAAGCAAAAGATACACGATTTGATTCAGATGGAACTTTTTCAAGTTCCATGGAGGTGGCACCTTCGTCGGATTGCATCATATAATCTGTAAAGAGAGATGCGAGCGCTTTCCACAGAGAGAAAGAGAAGGAGAGAGTTGAGGAGGAGGAGAGGCGCCGAGGTACATCTACAGAGCCTGTATCCTCTTCGAGGGTGTTTGGCAACTCATGGATGGATTGGACTGGCTTGGATTTAAATCCCAAATCAATCTAGTGAAATTCCAAATCAGTCAAATGAAATCCCAATAAGCCGGATTTGTAGGGGGATAAAAATAATTTGGGTTATCCAATTTCTGCTTTGGATAGTGCATTATGTTGTGGTTGGGATATGAACAAACTACATTTTTTTATTAAACATCTAATACATTTGATATTAATTGACCATTTTACCCTTGAATCCTATCTCCTTTTTGGCTTGACATTTGATCATATTAATTGATCAACGTTGGTTACCACTTTGTATGATACAATTTATACACTCCTCATGAAAATAGGCAATGCCTCTGGCAGTCCCCATTGCAACCCGAAATCTAACATCCCAACTCAAACTCTGACCATCCTTCTTTAAATACACACTCAAAGGACCACTAGGCATGTAATCATCAATAAAGAAGCCTGTGAGAATTCTCAGAACAAAACCCTCTTAATCTTACAAGATTAACATGTTGAATGTTCCCAATTATGCACACCTCTACTCTAAATTCTCTCTCACCACCACCAAGTCTTTCAAGCCTTGTCACCGGAAACACACCTTCCTTTTCTTCTCTCTTCCTTTTCTTGATCCTCATCTTCCTCCAACCCAATAAAATTGCAACCACCAACATCAACACCACTAAAAACCCACAAAATGTACCAATCAAAACCAAGGTTTTCTCTTTGTTCTTCTCTGTGATACTTCCCTTTTGTACTCTTAAGTATAAATCATCCTGAATTGTGTTATTGGAAGTGAGATTTTGAAGATTTAAGATAGATCCAAATAAATTCTTACAAAGATTATTACTTCCATGGTGATATAAACCAATACATGAACAATTACTCAAACATCTGTTCTCACAAGTACTCTTACTCGTTGGAAAAGAGACCACAATTGCATCGTCGTAATTCACCGGGCCAACCAATTCAAACACAAGTCCACTGATACACCAAAAATTCTCCAAAAAAAAAGAATAATAATAAAAAAAAAAAAAATATATATATATATATACTGTCTCAGAAAGAGAGAGAGAGAAAACATACCTTGCCAATGAGAGGAGTTCGTGCCGTTCTTCGTTGGGGACCAGTGCAAAAGGGGGAGAAGTGGTTAAAAAATCCTAACTCTTGTGTTGGGCAGGGGGTAAAATGGTAAAATATGATTTGTATCCTGTCAATTGAAAATGAATCCCAAAGTTTTGGTGGGATTTCTTTGTCCAGATGAGAGGGGATAAAGGGGTTGAATCAGTGTTATCAAAATTGGACCAGATCGTCCGGTCGGACCGGTCCAACCATGACCCAGGGCCTTAACCGGTCCGGTTCTCTAATCGGACAACATAAGGAAGAGAATCGGCTAAAAATCGAATAATTGGTCAATTTTTATAAAAAATCGTGAATTGCCCGTGTTTATAAAATCGGACGGTTTGAAGATAAATGACTTAAATCCCATTTATTTGGGCCATTCTTTTGCCCTAAATCGTAGAAGCACCACTCCACTCTCTGGCGACCAACGAGCCCTCCACCCCCTCTATCTCCTCTCTCTCCCTAAACCCCTCCAACCCCTTTCTCTCCTCAAATTACAGAAACCCATTAGAGGGCTTTACGCAGCAATTTGCTTAAGGTGGTGTTGCCGCTGTTGCTTCTACTAAGGTAGAGATAGGTCCTATTGAGAGAAACTTTCACCTATTTGTTTAGATTCTTGCTCTGGTGGGTTTGGTACTTCTAGTGGCGTTTCATCACCATCTGTAACCCCGTTTCATGAGATTATATATCAAACACCAAGTGCTACATACTCAGACTCTCTGGTTTTCAACAACTCCGATGACTAGGAAAATAGGTTGGATGAATTGGGTTTGTCGAAAAATCTTTGTAAAATGCATATTGGGAATGAACGAGATGATTTATCCGGTATTAATAGATTTGGTTTGGACCCAAATAATCTTAGGTTTGGATTTCGTGCCTATTTTTCAAATGCTATTAGTCCCCTGCAACGTTGAACATTACTGCCCAATTGAAGGTTTTGGTAGCAATGATAATGTTTGTGGGGAGTTTCAATCCTCCATTCATGGAGAATGGTTAAGGTGGTGCTATCGCTGTGGCTTAAGGTGGTGCTGCCGCTGTTGCTTCAAGATTGAGAGAATGGTTTTTGCCTTATTTGTCCCCCATTTTTCTTTATCGCTATAAAACCTAAAGGATCTTCTCTCTCTCTCCCCTCTAGTATATTTCATAGTTATTGGGTTTGGTATTCTGAGTCTAAAAATTGTTGAAATTAGGTAAGTGATCTCAGACAAAATGAGTTTGTTCTTATGTAAACTTTAAAATTTAGTAGAGATTATGGTTTAGGGTTTGAACTTGGAGTGATTGTTCAGTTATGTCCTTAGATTAGATCTTTAAAGTTGAACTTTGATTTTGATATTTGACACATGTGTTTCTTTTATTTAACTTCATAAATTTTATGGCAAATTGTATGCATTTTAGACATTTTTTTATATTTTTTAGTTAAATTATTATGTTTTATAATTATTATATATATTTTTTTATTATATGATTGGTCCAACTATTTGACCCAACAGTTAAACCAGTGAATCATTGATCTGGTCCCCTTACTAGTTCGATGACTGGTCCGGTTCTAATAACATTGAGCTAAATCACTACGACCGTAATTTTTGAAAAGCTACGAATATCCAGCCTCAAAATACATTGCTAAAGCAGGGATAAATGGGGCCCACAACATATTTATCCAATCCAAACATGGTGTATCCACCTTTATCGAGCCATCCAAACACCCACTTCCTATTCTTTGGCTAACAAAACCCTAGAATTGGATGGCTGAGTGGATTATATATGGGGCCAACGCTAACCTTGAGAAGGAAGAGATAATTACAATAACGGCCTCACTATTTGCACCGATTTGAGGAGGTTACCCTCCAAATTTCAAAAATTGTAGTGTGCCATCTCTAGTTTAATGTTGAAATTTAGATGTCAACTTTACCGTGATGAGCTAGTATAAATTACAAACGATGTGTGATTATAACAAGGGTAAATTATATTTTTGTCCCCTTTACTATGACACTTTTTAAATATTGTCCCTTAAATATCATTTATTTTACACCATACACTTAACCATGTGATTAGTTTCGCACCGTCTCAACGATTAACATTGGTTATAAATTTAAGAAATTTTTTTTTTTTGGTTTCTGAAAAATGTGATTTTTTTTACTTTATCCAAAACTTAACAATTTCTATCAAAAAGAAAACAATCATTTGTATTTTGTGTAACGTAAAATAATTTAAATAATTTAGGAGATAATGTGAAAACTCAAAGGGCGAAAGAAAATTGAGTCCATAAATTCAGCGACAAAAAAATATAAAAAAAGAATCCTCAATCTTCAATCGAGTCATGGTTTGGCCCCATAATTGTCTACCCGACCCAAATTCGACCCGACTGAATGCCTAACTCTTCCCTAAAAAAAGTTAGATGATATCATTTGGCCAAGGGATGGACATGGATACAAATTTTTGTTACTATTTAATGTCGACATTCTCTCACACATCTCGATTGACCCTAGGCCTTAAAGACGGCCCATGGGTTGCAACCTTTGCCAACTAGTCCACACTTCATGGAAGAAAAATTGATCCTACATTGATTTGAAAATATTTTTTCCGTCTAGAAATTTTTCATTTTACTTGGGGGAATCTCATATTGCATTATGAAAGATTTAAGTTTTTTTATTTTATACTTTCAAAAATAAAATTTTTTATATTATACTTTCAATGTATTAAAAATATTTTAATATGGTACTTCCGTTATTTTTAGTTGCTTATTCCGTCAAATCATTTTATTGAAGTTGACGGGAATGAGTAACTAAAATTAACAAAAATTAACAGCAGAACTATATTACAATAACTTTTAATATATTGAAAGAAAAATATGAAAAATTTAATTTTTAAAGATATAAAATAAGAAATATTAAATCTTTAAGGATATAAAATATAATTTACTCTTTTCCTTGACCTAAATCGCGCCAAATAATGACATCACTAAATCTTCCGCTCTGCCTACCGGATCTTCTCCCATCTGCTTTCCAAATTCAAATACCCCTCTCTCTCTCTTTCTCTCTCCTCTGCTTTCCAAATCCAAATACTTCTCTCTTCTCTGCTTTCCAAATTCAAATGCTTCTCTCTCTCTTCTCTGCTTTCCTAATTCAATTAGACTTCACACCCAAGTATTCTCCCTCTCAGCCAATTCAATTGTTTCTCTCTCTCTCTCTCTGCACAACACCCTTCTTTCTTCACCCGCCCCTCTTCTCATCTCCTCTCCCTCACTTCTCTCTTCTTTCTTCACCTTTTTCAACAACACAGACACTATTCCCCTCTCTTCTCTTCTCCCTCAACTCTCTTCACCGTATCGGCCGCCACTCCCAGCTCACCAACATCTACGATATCTTTCCGCTCTCCCCTATTTCTCTCGTCACCCCTCTCTTCTCTTCTCTCTCATCATTCTCCGCATCCTCTGTCTCATCACTGCCTCACCATAACGAAACTGCTACGATGCCCTTTCAAGCACCGCCATCGACGCTGCCCAGGTATGTCTCCCTCTCTCCCCCTCTCTCTGCCCCTTTCCTCTCTCTGTGGCTCAGCGGCTTCTTTGATAAACCCGACCATTTTTATCCTTGTAATTGCACAAAAATTTTATTCTTTGCTTCATGGAATTGATCCAGTCTTTGATTTCCCTGTGTGGAATTGGTAATGCGTTCTTGGTTGAATAGAGTTATCACATCAGTTTGGCTTTTTTTTTTTTTTGCAATTTGTAACGTAAAATTAAATTTTGGTTCTGGTGGTTTGTTTGATAGGCTCTGTATGAATCACAAGATATATAACTAATGCGTTTTGTGAACTATTCCGGTGTTTCGGCCCAAAAAAAAAAAGAACTATTCCGGCGTTGAAACATGATATGGTTAGTGATTTTGTTAATTATTTTTCTTTTCCTTCTCTATCTTACTTATTTATTAACAGGGTATTACTATAAATTCACGAAGTATTTGTGACTATGATCTGTGAAGCCTTTTGATAAAAAAAGAACAATTCTGGCCGTTGAAACGTGATGAGATTAGTTATTTCGATAATTCTTTTTTCTGTTATCTTCTTTGTCTACACTTTAGGATTTGCATTCGTGGTTCGACAATCCCATTGTTCTTTTTTATTTTTAATTTCATAGCAGTTTATGACCAAAACATCTTATAAATCTATTTGAGCACATGTTGCGATTTTACTGTTCCTCCTAACTTTGGATTACAAATAACTGTTTTGTTCCATTGACACTATGTAGCATTTATAATTAGCAGTTTGGTTCATATCTTAAAAGAAAAACTAACAACTTATGTAAGTACATGCATATGATATTTCTATATAGATGTATGTGACAAATGTTTTTTCTCAATTGTGTGTGTTTCTGCATGTATCTGTATTTGCGCTGGAGTTCATATCAGATACTTATAGATAAATTTGTGTTGTTGGATCACTTTGTTCTAGAATTCTGTGTTTCTAAAGAATTTTATTGTTCTCTTTCCCACAAGTCTCCCCCTCTCTCTCTCTCTATCTTTAAGCCTCTCTAGCTGAACATTAATTATTTTCT